CTTACGCTCCCAAAAAGTCAGTACAACGTCTCCCTCAACTGGCTTTACAGTGTGTGTGCACAAGGAGCGGGACATCGTCTCTGCCGTGCCCCTGAGTGCCCGGAGAGCTCTGGCCCTGGGTTCCCTGTTCTTCACCAGCCTTCTCTTCTTCACTTTTCCAATTCTCTCTGGTTTGATAAAGCTGGCCTGCTTTTGATAAAAGACCCGGTTGAAGTTGCTAGTCGGCCAGCTGGTCACGCTTGGCTCGCTCTATCACTTCAGTCCTAGCAGCTTTGTCCTTTGCCAAGGCTGAGCCTCTGACTCAAAATAACTGAGATACTGCTGCCCCCTAAAGGACACATTGATTTTAAAAGTTAGGTCTTTTTTTTTTTAATTAATTAATTTATTTTTTCAAATACATTTGTCTCTGCCTACCACTCACCACTTTCCCTTGCCCCCTCCCTCCCTCCCTCCCTCCCTCCCTCAACTCTTCCCCTTTGGTTTTGTCCATGAGTCCTTGCTATATGTTCCTTGAAAAAGTTGGGTCTTTATTAACATTCAGTTGGGTTTCAGTTTGGGGCTGCTTCTTCCCTTTTTTTAAATTGACTAGTAATTCCTCAAAATAAGTGGACAGGCCAATGTGGTTAATGCAGTATACAAAATCTCTGGGGGTCAGAGCAGAAAAAGAGTGTCCTGATTGTCTTCTAAGCACTAAAAATTTGTAAATACAAATTTGTGAATAAAGAATATACAAATATACTTCCCGCTCTAATTATGGATCAAGGTATAGGGGATGGTAAGAAAAACTGAAATAAGAATTTCAGTCTTCTCTATAGCATGATTTTTCTATAGAGGACAAAATTTTAGCTGTTTGTCAGTCAAATTAATTCCCTGGAATATAAACAGAAGCATCTGGATTTTTGTTTTTGTTTTTGTCTCTAGGGAGAGGGAAACTTATCTAAAATTCAGATCATTTGATTCAATATTATCTGGAATCAAAAGAAGAGAATATTTTACTTAATACAGACTTCATATAATAATTCTGTTTTCATTTCTTGGTACTGCCATTATTTCAGGGGCTTTCTTTTAAAGTTTAACTAGGACTATAGAGTCCATCACAAATGTGAGGGTTTAGCTAATACTTAGCCCACAGCTTAATCTACTCAGCCAGCACAGAGTTCCTTTGGCCCAATGTCTCCTATGAGAATGTGTTTTTCTCAGGCATTAACTAAACCACCTCACCAAGGCAAAGTCATCCTCTTAGGAGCCGAGTGTCAACTTTGAAAGGGAGGAACAGGTGTGGAGATGGCCACTCCAGCTCAGTGCAAGTACTGGGCTGCCTGTTCAGAAAACCCTTTATTATGGTAGGAGAATTTGCAGCTGAGGAACAGAGTTTTCAGCGGACAAGTGAGCAGGAAGAACCAAAGTTTAACACATAAAAACTTGAATAAATATGTTTAGTTCAACAAAATTTTAAAAAAATCAGTGACCGTGTCTAAAGTGAAGATAGCATAATGATATTTTATGTCTCTTGAATTTGCACAATGGTGCACCGTGCAATTACTTTCCATCTTCTACCCCCAGCACACCAGAAAACATCCAGGTTTGCCCTCTTTTGTAACAGCAAAGAGATATTTATAAATACATGTTGCTTTCTTGCAATAATGTGGACATTTTCTTTCTATTCCTCTGTTCAAAAGTGCAATTCCTTTCCAATTTTAAGATCTCTGACTTTGAACTCCATTCTGGTGTCAGAAACATGGCATAATTTATAATCCTCGGGTGGAAAAAGCTGCGGGACATCTATTTTAACTTGACTTTGGGACATGTGCAGTTTAGTTCTCAAGCCCGAAAGTCAAGAGCTGTATCACTTTAGCTGCCTGTGGCAGATCCCCCCCAGAGCACACACGTGGGCTTGGCTGCTGCCCTGTTCACATAACTGAACTACAGGCTAATGGCAGTTTGTCCATCATGTCTTCATGTCTCCCATAGGTGCACTGCAGAAAACTACTCTGCCTTTTTTAAAATTCCCAAACCCTGCTCCCTTTTTCTCACTATCTCCAGAAAATATGGCTATCAGTTTGAATATACTCATGTGGAAAAAGTTTTTAAAGATTTTATTTATTTATTTTTAGAGAGAGGGGAGGGAGAGAGGGAGAGAAACATCAATGTGTGGTTGCCTCTTGTGCCCCCCTAACTGGGGACCTGGTCTACAACTCAGGCATGTGCCCTGACTGAGAATCGAACCAGCGACTCTTTGATTCACAAGCTGGCACTCAATCCATGGAGCCACACTAGCCAGGGCTCATGTGGGAATTTTTTGAAGTTGTAGAAAAATATATGGAGAGAAGTAAGCCTGCTTATGCTTACATTTTGTTGGAAATTTGCATTTGGCCGTGTTGTCCACATATAAATACTATGATATAGGCCTTGTAATTTGAAGAGCCTGTCGCCATGCCTCTCAGAGGAGTCTGAGTAACAGACTTGGAACATGCTTTGTTAGCATCAGAGGCGGTGGGTGACAAATGAGACCTGGTTTGTGCCTGAGCACCACTCTGGGGTCCTCTGGCTGAGAGCTCCATAACTCAGAGGCAGCACGCTCCAGATTTATATATAACAAGACTTGGCTGCGGAAGGAGATAGCTGAGGTGTGACCTCTCTCTACTCACTCACTCAGCCATAACCATGCAGCCCTGTCAGTGAGGATTTTGGGGTCTGGCTACCTGCACCTCTTTCTGCCCTGTTTTGTCTGCCTCGTATCCTCACTGCACTGACTTTTTTTCAGATCCTTTACATAACCTCATTTGATTTCTCCAAGTGGTGTTTGTGTCTGGTTTATGCCTACAATACAATATTGACATTCATGCAAACAATGGCCCTACGAACACCACGTGTCCTGCTTATTGTCTTCTCTATCCTCTGATAAATATCATCCCCTCTATCTTCACACCCTCCGCTTACTCACCAGACCGAGGGTTAGCCACATAGACCATTAACTCATGTCAACTTCGATTCCGGTGTCCTGACCCACGCTGTCCATGGCCACAGCTGTCCCTGAGCCCCCGTCCGGCAGCCTGTTTCTCTCGGGGCCCTGCACTAACCTATTTTCCAACCTCAGCTCCTTTCCAGAGAAAATGCAGTCACCCACAGCATTTCTTAATTTTTCTCTTGGCAGATGAAAAAAAGAATTTATGACATCTACCCCACAGTTCTCAACTTCATAAGTTCCCAACAGACGTCTTGTCTCCCAAGAGTCCTCTCCTTCCCCCGAACCCTCACACACACAGCGTTCCTCCCAGCGCTTGTCCCTCCTGGGCTGCTTGCACTCCCACCCAATAAACCCACCCTACCGTTTAGCCTAAAGAGAACAATTGTCCTGTCGTCCTTTATCCTTTTGATTTTGAAATTAGTTAACTTATTTCAATGATCTTTCCAGTACCATAGGTTAACAGCTAAGCACTCTTTTTTCTTTTTAAAGATGTTATTTATTTATTTTTAGAGAGAGGGGAAGGAAGGGAGAAAAAGAGGGAGAGAAACATCAATGTGTGAGAGAAACATTGATTGGCTGCCTCTCTCATGCCCCCAACTGTGGACCTGCCCATCACTTAGACATGTGCCCTGACTGGGAACTGAATCAGCGACCTTTTGGTTCACAGGCCAGCACTCAACCCACTGAACCACACCAGTCACGGCTAAGCAGCCTTAATTAAACATCTTTTCATGAGTCTCTCTCTACAGAAGAATTCCATATTGCTGTTCTAAAAGATAACACTCTCTTCACATGTGTAGATCCCTATGACTCCTTCAGGTAGAATTCTACTATTTTATTTTATTTCATTATTATTTTTTATTTTTTCCTTTTGTTTGACTGTATTGGGGTGATGTTGGTTAGTAAAATTATATAGATTTCAGGTGTACAATTCTATAATACATCATCTGTATATTATAGTGTGTTCACCACCCCAAGTCAAGTCTCCTTCCATCACTATCTATCCCCCATGCCATACTCTCTTGTACCTCTTCCCAGAATTTTATAACATTTTAAAACTCTTGGTGTTTTGTCATGCCCAAATGAGACGAGCAGGTGAGGACAGGAAGCAGCTCCTAGAGAAGGAAATGGGTGGGGAGGAGAGAGACAGAAGGACCTGCCTTTTCCTTCCCACTTTTTCTGAAGGATCTTCCCAGGCCTGAAAAGCTGAGCATGGTAGTGGGGATGTAGGTGGAATAGAGGAGGAGAAGCCGAGAAGTTTGAGGAAGCCTGGTTATTGGTAAGGTCCCGCCACTGCTATATCAAGAGCTATCTAATGTCTCCCCATGTCCTCTATCCTGGGAGAACTCTGTAACCCTAGAGACCCTGATAAGTCCTGATAGAATGCACAGCCCCGAGACAGCTACTGTCACCACCACAGACAGCCTGCCAGGACCAGCCCAGCTAGCCAAGCCGGGGGCCAGGGGTGCCCAGGAAATATCCTTCAAGCCCAGAGTGATACCTCACTGGAGGGTCAGATCTGATTAGAGACTCTAGGCTTATTGCTGGTTCCACACTGAAGAAGACTTCAGCAATTCTGGCCACCCCTGACTGTGAGGATCGCTCCTGCAGGGGCAGAGTGCCCGGAGGGGAACCGTACAGTAACTGGGGGGCTGGAGGCTCTCAGGACTCTGGGGGTACGGAGGATTCAAGCTTCTTAACAGCCTTGCAGCTCTGACCCCAATATCTTGGTGGCTTGAGTAATAGTTTGATGACTTGGGAGTGAGAGAAGAAAGGAAAATAAGAAATGATGTGTGTGTGCGCGTGCTCTATGTTCCTGATGCTGAAACAGAGAGTCAGTAAATAGAAATGTTTCAACTGGAGAGAGATGTCCTTATGCTAACAGAAGTGCTTTTTCAATATGAATCCTAGAAATCATGCATGGCAGTTAGATCAACATGCATTAGCTAAGAGAACTACCTGGTAGTCAAAATCATCACCAGGAATTCTTCTGACCCTTAAAAATTAACACCAAGGCTTGCTTTCTCTGCAGGTCCTCAAGTATGTGCCACATAATGAAGCACAATCACTACATCTCCCGATTCGGCAGCAAACTTGGGTTGCAGTGCATCGGCATGCATGAAAATGGCATAATATTTAACAATAACCCAGATGTCTGGAAAGTGGTTCGTCCTTTCTTTATAAAAGGTAATCAGGTGCCAGGCTACATTCTGCTCTTGTCTAGGAATGTGCCCGTTTTTTGGAAATCATTCTTAAATTCTGCTGCTTCACACTTTTGAAATAATGATCTGAGCTAATATGCACTATATATTTACTATATAGTAGGCACTGTTCTAAACACTTGATATTTTAATTCTATAGAAACCCCAGGTGGTAAAATACTCTAATCAGCTACACTTTATAGATGAGAAAACTGAGGCAAAAAGAGGTTAACCAACTTGTCCGTGATTCCAACATTAGTAAATGTTAGCCCAACAGACAACCCCAGAGGCTACATTTTTAATCACCGCAAATTCTGTTCCTCCTGTTAATACACAAAGCAATTTCATGGACGTAAAGAAGACATGGAGCTTTAAACTTAGGATCATTAAAAACGAATGAACAAAAAATAGAATTGAGCCCTGGCTGGTGTGGCTCAGTGGACTGAACGCCAGCCTGTGAACCTAAGGGTCACCGGTTTGATTCCCAGTCTAGGGCACACGCCTGGGTTGTGGGTCAGTCCCCAACAGAGTGCGCATGAGAGGCAACCACACATTGATGTTTCTCTCCCTCTTTTTCTCCCTCAGTTGCCCTCTCTCTAAAAATAAATAAAATCTTTTTAAAAAATAAATAAAAATAAAATAAAGAATTGAGTGTATCTGCCATATGTTTAATTTAAACATAGCAAACAACATGTCTGTTGAATCATTGACTGACATCCCAGATGTTTTAACAGAAAACAATTTGTGAATAAAAGAGAGAATCTTAGAACTGGGAATGACAGTATATGTCACCTCATCCAGCCTCTGAGTTTTGTAGTTGAAGTTTACAGTCCTAGGGAGGTTATGATTTTTGTCCAACATAGAGAGTAATGGATGAGCAGAGACTAGATCCCAAGCTTCCTTATCTAGTGAGTTCCTCCTTTACGATATTCTGCTGGAAATGAAGCTGTTGGAGACTTTTACATGAGCAGACTTTGACATTAACATCAAGGAATGTAATCATGCCTTGGAAATGTTGCCAGTGGTGGGGAACTGGGGTAGGTAGATTTTAGGTCTGACTGTGCACTGTCAACGTTCTTTCCCCAGTCAGCCTGGGGAAAGTGGTAGTGAATGTAGATGCCTCCCGCGTGGCTGCTGAGACAGGGAAAAGCCATGCCTGTTTCCACTGGGGGCCGGTTCCCCTCTGCAGAGTTGCTCATTACCAAGACTCAGCACAACTCCACTGGGACCCTATGGTATTAGTTTCCTATTGGTGCTGTAACATATTGTCACAAACTTAGTGGCTTAATACAACACATTGTCTTACAGTTCTGCATGTAAGGTCTGACATGGGTCTCACTGTGCTCAGACCAAGGTATTGGCTGGGCTGTGTTTCTTTCTGGAGGCTCTAGGGGAGGATCTGTTTCTTTGCATTTTCCAGCCTCAGAGGCCATTCACATTGTTTGGCTTGTGGCCCCTTCCTCTGTCTTCAAAGTCAGCAACAGTGGGTTGAGTCGTTTTTATACCACATCTCTCTGAGCCACCCTTCTGTCATCACATATCTTTCTGACTCTGACCTCAGCTGAGAAAAGTTCTTGGTTTTTAAGGACTTACAGAGTGAGCAGGCCCACCCAGATAATCCACAATAGTCTCCCCATCTCAAGGTCTTTAATTTTAATATTTGCCAAGTCCCCTTTTCCATGTAAGGTAACACATTAATAAGTTCCAGGGATTAGGGCCTGGACAACTTTAAGGAACTATCCCTCTGCCTACTATTCATATTGGGGCAGATAAACCCTCTTATGCCTGACACAACTGCAGAAAAGATTAATGAAAAGAGTACAGGCTTCAGGATTATGGGCTGTGAATTTGATTCCCAGCTCTGCCACTTTACTAGCCATATGACCTTGGACAAGTCACTCAGCCTCTCTGAGCTTCAGTTTCCTTATCCAAAAAAAGTAGTAAGCACTATAGAACTTGAATTCTAGAGTTAGTATGAAGAATAAATTAAATAATGCTGTAAGATCCTACAGAAATGTAAGTTTCATTTTACTTTGTCATTTGGTCCAGCTGTATTAGGAATATGTGAATTAGTATTTAGGAACAATAAACTATCATATACCTTTCTTATCTATTCTGACATGCAAGAATTAATAGAATCTCTAAATTCATCCACTTGTTTAACAAACTACTGTCTTCACATAATTGAACTAGGTGCCCAGAACACAATGAGAAACAAGATATGGTCCTGCCCTCAAGGAATTTATAATGGGGAGGGAGCAGAGTGGAAGCTCTATACTTCACCAGATACCATCCTCAGTGATGTGTTCTGGTAGAGGGGTGTGCAGAGTGCACAGAGCACAGACCAGTGGGTCATCTAAAGCACTCTGAGAGGTCAGGGGAGGATTTTCAGAGGAGTATATGCTTATGGTGAGTTTTCAGAGAAGGTAAAAACTGCCTATTTGAAGAAAGGGTGATAAGGACACATTCCACAGGAGGGAAAAACAGGATACTCCAAGGCAGAAAAGGATAGATTAGCATGCCCTGTCCAAGGAACTGTAAGTGGGCCCTTGGATGTCGCAATGGATACATGCCTGCACATATCCATGCAAGGTATAAGGCCAAGGGGAAGCCACAGGGCCAGCCACCAAAGACCCCTGCGCCAAGGCAAGTAGCTGAGTGTGTCTCAGAGGTTGCAGGAAATCATTCAAGATTTTAAGCAGGGTGACATAAACATATTTGTGTGTTAGAAAGTCTGCTCCAGTAGCAGAGTGAGTGACTAATAGGAAGGAAGCATGACTGTGAGCAGTGAGAACAGTTAAGAGCTACAGTAGAGACACAGGATGGATGGGAGGAGAGTACTGACGTAAGAGACGTTAAAAGACTAGAATTCACAGTCCTTGTAAATTAATAAAAAAAATCTTTGTGACTTTTGTAGATTAGTCCCATGTATGGAAGATCAGATTTTTTTCCTTCTTTTTAAAAATATATTTTATTGATTATGCTATTACAGTTTTTCTGTTTTTTCCTCCACTTTATTCCCCTCCACCCTGCACCCCCCTCCCACCAAGATTCCCTCCCTACCCTAAGTTCATGTCCATGAGTTGTACATATAAGTTCTTTGGCTTCTCCATTTCCTATACTATTCTTAATCTCCACCTGTCTGTTTTGTACCTACCAGTTATGCTTCTTATTCCCTGTACCTTTTCCCCCATTCTCCCTCTCCTTCTCCCCTCTGACCTCCATTTCTGTGATTCTGTTCCTATTCTAGTTGTTTGCTTAGTTGTCTTTTTTTTTTTTTTTAGGTTCAGTTGTTGATAGTTGTGAGGTTGTTGTCATTTTACTGTTCATAGTTTTTGATCTTCTTTTTCTTAGATAAGTCCCTTTAACATTTTAACATTTCATATAATAAGGGCTGGGTGATAATGAACTCCTTTAACTTGACCTTTCTTGAAAAGCACTTTATCTGTTCTTCCATTCTAAATGATAGCTTTGCTGGATAGAGTAATCTTGGATGTAGGTCCTTGCCTTTCATGACTTTGAATACTTCTTTCCAGCCCCTTCTTGCCTGTAAGGTTTCTTTTGAGAAATCAGCTGATAGTCTCATAGACACTCCTTTGTAGGTAACTGTCGCCTTTTCTCTTGCTGCTTTTAAGATTCTCTCCTCATCTTTCATCCTGGGTAATGTAATTAGGATGTGCCTTGGTGTGTGCTTCCCTGGGTCTCCCTGAGCTCCAATTTCTTTGGGACTCCTGGAAGTCTATTTCCTTCACTAGATTGGGGAAGTTCTCATTCATTATTTTTTCAAATAAGTTTTCAATTTCTTGCTCTTCCTCTTCTGCTTCTGGCACCCCTATGATTCAGATGTTGGAATGTTTCAAGTTGTCCTGGAGGTTCCTAAGCCTCTCCTCATCTTTTTGAATTCTTGTTTCTTCATTCTGTTCTGGTTGAATGTTTATCTTTTCCTTCTGCTCCAAATCGTTGATTTGAGTCCCAGTTTCCTTCCCTTCACTGTTGGTTTCCTGTATATTTTTCTTTCTTTCACTTTGCATAGCCTTCATTTTTTCCTTCATTTTGCGGCCATACTCCGTCATTTCTGTGAGCATCCTGATTACCAGTGTTTTGGACTGTTCATCTGATAGGTTGGCTATCCCTTCATCACTTATTCTGTTTTTGGAGCTTTGATCTGCTCTTTCATTTGGGCCAGATTTCTTTGTTTCATTGTGCCTGTTACATTGGAAGGGGCAGAGCCTTATGTATTCTCCAGGGCAGGGCAACCCAGGTCACTGTGGTGTGATGCTGTGCATGGGGGAGGGGTCCAAGAGGGAACAATGCCACTTGCTTGGCTCTTGGCAGGCTTTCAGTCACTTTTCCCACTACCCACAAGCAAATTGGGCCCTTCTAGAGCTGATTCCAGGGTGGGTGGGTTTGTGTACATTCTAGATACCTGTGGGTCTCTCCATGGAACTCTCCCGTGAGGCTAGGAGTTTCTCCCACCACCACAATCCCCACAGGTTTCTACAGCCAGAGGTTCTGAGGCTGAGGCTTTCTTTTCCTGCACTGGAACCCTGGATTGCGTGTTCTCTCTTGCTCTCCTGTCGTTCCTCTTGGTTTATTCACGTGCAAATGTGGGACTGCCTGGTCCACCAGCCACCACCTCGCCCACCTGGTCCTCTAGCCACCACCTGGCCCCACATCCTCTTCGCCCTCGCTGCCCATGCCCCCCCCCCCCCGCCCAGGTCTGGGTGAATTTTTTTTCTTTAAGAACTTGGTTGTCAGACTTCCATACAGTTAGATTTTCTGGCAGTTCTGGTTATTTTTGGTTTTTAAATTTGTTATTGTTCTCCTTTTGGTTGTGCAAACAGGCTAAGTGTATCTACCTATGTCTCCATCTCGGACAGAAGTGGAAAATCAGATTTTCTACTGAAAACATTACAAAAGTATATCCAAATGAAATGCCAAAAATAGAGGGCTAATTGTTTATTGAAAATCCTCTGCTGCTTGTGACATTATCAATAATCAGTGAGAGCCCTAAACATTTCTTGATGAATTTCCTTTTAGAGTTGGACTTCTTGTTGGTTTTTTTGATATAGTAGAAAGTTTGGGATAGGTTTTAGTATCTTAAATAGTAATAATAAAGGCATTGACTCACTGGGTGTGTCTATGGAGAAATAGTTAAGTTCAACTTAGGCAAAGCCCATACTGAGGGAAGAAGTGGGAGAGCCAAGAAATAGCTCGCGTTTCCTGAAACTGCCAAGAGAGTTGTCTATATTGAGAGTTACTTGCTCAATTACTGATTAATTGCTCAATTTCTTTTTTAAAATCTGGATAAACTTGAGAAAATTGCAAAAATTAAAGTCATATCTACATCAAACCACTACCTATCAGCAATTACATTTTGTTTATATGTTTGAAATTTGGCTTCAAGCTCTTGGACATAGAGGCAGATCATACATCAGCCTGGGAGAAAACCATTTCAAAATCAATGCTTGCAGGCAAAGTGTTGAGTCATTAAGGAATTATTTGTCCCACTTGTAGATGTGACTATCACCCAGGGAACAGCGTCCTGGCCTCTCCTATCTTCCAAGTCCTTCCTACAGTCTGGAAGTATGACACCAACCCAAACTTTCTTTTTACATATGAGTAGAAATCTTAAGAGTCTAGGACCACTCACTAGGCCTTCTTCCTTAATTTGCAAAGTCTGCCTTCAGTGGGTTCTGCAGCTGATTTGTTTTTTAAGAGAGAAATATGCCTACAAAATTCCCCAGTATTTTCTCTTGCATTTCAAGGACTCTGACTTTAACAGCAAGTCTGGATAGTAAAAAATATACAAAAAAGAGGGATTACTCTAAAGCTTAAACTTAGAACAAAGAGAAAAAGGGGAACTTTAAGAGTTAAACTCTCAAGATAGACCACCTACCATCAGAAGCCACTAGCCGTCCAGATGGTCAGGAGCAGAGCAAAGGGTGAGATCAGAGGCCAGTCTACTCTACCTGTTTTCTTGCATTCATTCATTCATTCATCCATCCATTCATTCATTCATTCCTCCATTTGACAAATATGTTTTGAGGGCCAGTATGCACTGTGGACTCTAAATATAGTGCTCATGGGAGGTTGTCACTGCCCTTAAAGGAGTCCCAGTCCAGTGGGGAATACTGCTAAGCAAACAAAGAATTCCTTAGCTGTTACGACACTGGTGGAGTAAAATAAATCTGGAAGTAGTTTGAAGAGAAACCAAAATAAAGAGAAGGGCACTTTTGGTAATGTATAAGAGTAACATTTTAAACATAAAAACTACAATGAAAAAGGAAGCACCTTATATGAAATAGTTAAGGTCCAATTTGACTAGTTCTGTAGCAATATCCTGCTGCCTGTTGAAACATAAAATTAAGTATCACCTTAAACAAATCCAAACCTTCTTTAGAGGAAAAATACATACCATAAATACGAAAAAAACACTGATTTGTATTTGTGACCAAAGTACTAAATGTTTCACTTGCAATTTTACAAATGATATGCCAGAGCATGAAGAAAAGTTTAATTTTGAATAGTTTATTTTAAAAAATCATTCATTTTTAACAAGAAAGGCAATACACTCTTATAGAAAATTAGGAGAATAAAGAAAATTATAAAAAAGCATATGAAAAATTTCACCCAGTTATTGAGTAAAAAATTGTGGATGATTAAGCTCCAAAACAGGAAAAAAAACAAAAGCACTTGATTGTATGTGTGTGTCCCGGAGTTCAGGATGGCTCACTCTCTGATGTGTTCCCTTCAGCTTTGTCGGGCCCCGGCCTCGTGCGCATGGTGACAATTTGTGCTGAATCTGTCATAAAGCATCTGGACAGATTGGAGGAAGTCAGAAATGAGTTGGGCGCTCTCGACGTGCTGACCCTCATGAGGCGCATTATGGTGGACACGTCCAACATGCTCTTCCTGGGGATCCCCTTGGATGGTACCGAAACCTTCATTCTTATGACTTAACATTCTGCCATTTATTGATCAAAGGGATGAGAGGAAGAGTAGACTCAAGTGAAAATATGCTGTTTTCTACATTGTTTTTCTTCCAACATCTCTAAGATTTCCCAAGATTTTTTCCTAGTGTGTCTGCCTTGTTCACTTATAAGGTACACATTTCTGTAAAGTAGGGGACCATCTATTTATTTTGTATCTCTTTTCATTGCTCTAGGAAATAGAATTCTACCCACAGCCAAAACTCAATAAATGTGATCAGTTTGATTGGTCGTTAATATACTCCCCCTCCAAACAGATATATTTAAGCATTTTCAGCCATTCTTTTGGGGCATGATATATACATACACACACACACATACATATATACACACACTTCCATGTGTAGATATACAAACACACCCCTCCCTCAAAGCTCTAAGTATGAAAATTTTGACTGTCTGCACGATGATGATAGTGCTGCTTGCTGATGCAGGAATCAATGATGAGAGCTACCATTAATTTACTATCTACCATGTACCAAAGAGCATAAGAAGTTGCTTTACATATAGATGGCCATTAAGCATTTTTAACAACCCTGGCAATTTGTCTTACTTAAGATGCTACTTTCCTCATTATACTATAGGAACAAACATTAAAACACATACATGCAATTCTACCACCACCTAAAAACAAACATTAATCACTGGGATTAATTCCATTTTGCTGTTGCCTAGCTTCATACAATTTTTCCTGAATTAATTTCTAGCAGTGTTCATTGATTCATACATTTATTTAGCATATAGTTATTGATTGCCTCTTTATGCAGAAACTATTATAGGGTTCTGAGGATAGAGCAGTGAAGAAGGCAAAGTCCCTGCCTTCAGGGAGTCTATATTTCCGTGATATACAGGCAGTAAACAAATAAATATTTATTTATTTATACACACACACACACACACACACACTTGTACTATATAACAAGTAATATTATTTTGCCTATAATATATTAAATGATAAAAAGTCATTTGAAGAAAAAACAAAGCAGGGCAAGGAGATAGTAAATGAAGAGGGGTGGTCCGTGGGAGTGGACGTGGCTCTTGTGGAGAGCTGGGTCAGGGAAGGCCTCTGTAGAGAAGACATCTGCCTGTACGCCTAAATGAGGTAAGGCCACAGGCTCCACACAGAGAGGAGGGAACGCACTGTGGTCATCAGAACAAACCAGCTGAGCTCTAACACCTGCTGCCTAACTGTCCATATTTGGACAAATAGACAAGCTCTAAGCCCTCCCCTTCTTTTCTCAGCTCTCTTTGCCTCATCTTCCCTGCTCTTTACTCCTCACAAGAACCACAGAAACCTCATCTGATTGCCATTTGGATGGGAACTTCCATTCACTGTGAGGAATTTGAGTCACACCCTCTTGCCTGATCCCCTTTCACGCAGAGGCTCCAACCCCAGCTTGCCTGTTCTAGACACATCTTTCCTCAGGCTAGGCAAGTACATATTTTATAGGTCCTTGCTCCTTGGTTCCCTGCTAGCCCTGATTCTTAGGAAGGATCATGTAAAGGGAATTGTAAATGTCTCTGTTAACTTTTGGATACTGACTATGATGTTAAGAACCTGCATGAGTCATGCAGAGTTATTTTATTTCCTTTCTCCTCACCCAGTCCTTGCTAAATTCTTTGTCTAAGAGACCCAGAGCAATGAAAAGAAAGGGACATTGCCCTGAAGTGGGGCAAAACTGGGCTCCACCCCAAGGGCCTGCTTGCCACATTGGCTGCATGGAGTCAGGCAAGCTTCTCAATTTCCATGAACTGCAGTTTCTTCATCTGCCAAATGATGACACTTTCACTCTCCTAGCAAGACTGTAAGGATCAAATGAAGTCTCTTTTGCAAAGCATCTTGCACAGTGGCTGGTATTTAGCAGTTGAAAATAATGTGTTCCCTTCCCTATTGTATAATTCAGAAAAAGCAGGGGTTTTCTCTGCCCTCAATTTTCAATTTAATTAAAAAACACTTATGAAGAGTTGACTATACATGAGGCTCAAGACAAGGCATTGAAGATACTAAAATGACTTGTACATTCTGAACGGAATATAAATATGAAAGCTATGTAATGAGTGTGATGGCAAAAAATATGAATAAAGCACTATGAGGTGAGAATACAATTAAAAGCTATTAATTAGGTACATACTCCAAGTAAATTATTCACTTAATGGCTCTGCTTACCCAACACCAAATGAAGTTAAAATGTGGCTGCTGGCTGCCTAACAGGAGAGTGGCAGGGCTCACTGCCCGCCGCCCCCTCCTCCCTGCCCCAGGTACCAGAACTGAGGCCACAACAGCCATAATTACTAATGTCCCTTTTATTCCCCACTGTCCAAAAAAAACAGGAGTGACATGGAGGCTCAGCCAGAGACTCAGAGAATCTCAGCATGTGAGATTCTAGGCTGTGTCTCCAGCACAAAGTTGAAAACTGGCAAATCTTTGAATCTTTGATCAGCTCAGCCAGTTTAGACGTCAAGCAGAATAAATTAGTGTTGATTTGTCTAGTGGCAATAATGTGGCTAGAATGCCCACTGAAGGGGGAACCTTGCCTAGCTTAGAACTCCAGACCGGTAGGTATCTTTTCCGCTCAGAGTACTCTTTTTGGGCTCGTTTTTGTTCAACTGCTATTTGTTTGTTTTTCTAGAAAGTGACATCGTAGGTAAAATCCAAGGTTATTTTGAGGCGTGGCAAGCTCTCCTTCTCAAACCAGACATCTTCTTTAAGATTTCTTGGCTCTACAAAAAGTATGAAAAGTCTGTGTAAGTAACACAAGTTTGGAAAATTTGTCCATGAGATTGGATTGTTTTTTCTTTGTGTCTTTGCTATTGTTGGCCTCTTCAGCAAGTTCTCTGCTCACTAGAGCCCACAAGGGAGATGTTGATTAGGTTGCTGATGTAACACTTTCTACATCAATTTGGCTGAATGTAGCTGGACCAGAGAGTAAAGGAAGACTTTGGCCAGGGCACCTTCTCAACAACGGGGCCAAGTGGGTTGTCTGAGAACTCCATATCTGCAACTAAAACATTGCAGTGTATTTTGAGTTGAAAAGAAGAGTTGGCTGAACATGTCATTGTTATCTATCAAAATTCTCTTCGCATGTCAGAAAAATGGAAACATGGAATCATTTTATAATTGTATTGCTTCTGAGTAAATTTAACTTAATTCAACTTGTAGGAACTGAGAGTTTCAAAAGAAATTTTTTCATAATGAACATAATGAACTTCAATAAAATGTATGGTTTTTTATTTTTGTTTTTTAGATGTAGATTTTTGCATCTTTCAGGGGTTCTGAAACCATCATTAAATGGTTTTGCTTTGGTCTTAGGCTAGTATAGCAGAAAACTGGACAAATATCCAATGGCCTTAGGTAATCAATGGGATTTTTTAGTGTAAGTAGCCGGCCATTAAGCACTGCCTGCCCACTCTGTAATCACCAGTGGAAAAGCCCATGGGATCTAGAGGCAAAGAGATGTGGTTTGTAGCCTGTCCCTACCACTTAGTAACTAAATGAACTTGAGAAGTTATTTAAAGTTAAGAAAAAATAACAAAACAACCCCATGACTTCCAAAGTGGAGAGGTAAGTTGATGAGATCCTATATGGAAGAAAATTAACACAGAGCCTGGGCCACAGTAGACACTAAATACATTAGTTTTCCCTTCCCCTCTGTTCATATTTTCCCCATATGTTCTTGACCACCTTAAATCCTCCATTTCTAAAAGTTTTCAAACTTTTTTGAAGACCCAACTTTATCCTGTTTCTGTATTTTTAAATTCAATAGGAATAGTCTCTAGGGAGGAAGCCAACTTGATGTTGCTTTATATATTTTCATATGGTTAATGAGTATTAGATAGATGTTTGGAGACCCTTTTATACATTTCATTTCATTTCTACCAGAGTTTATTGTGACTTGAATTAATGACATAAAGGATTCATCATTTCACTGAAATAAGATTTGGTCATGGTTCTTGGTTATTAGTTTAGCTTTGGTCTTGGCCAGCAGGCCCATAGAAACTTATTGCATGAGACTGTATAACAGTTTCTCTTAGGTTTCTGTAGAAATAGCTTAGCAACATTTTCTCTATATATAACATTTGTCAATGGTGTGTGCACTAGTTTATATCTCTTATGTCATAGAGCAATAAAGACCCAGAGAAATCCTTTAAGTTCTTCCCCTCTATGCCCTTGCAGTAATGTCAATATTTTTATTGAGGTATAATTGACATATAACATTATATTAGTTTTAGGTGTACAACAAAGGGATATTGCAAAATGATCATCACAATAAATCCAATGAACACCTGTCACCATAGATGATATAACTGTTTTTCTTGTGATCAGAAATTTTAGGATCTACTCTCTCTCTTAACAACTTTCTTTTTTCTTTTTTTCTCTTGATAACTTTCAGGTCTGCAATATGGTATTCTTTATTATTTACAGTCATCATGGTGTACATTACAACCCCAGGACTTGATTACTTTATAACTGAAAATTTACACCTTTTGACCACCTTCATCCATTTGTCCATCCCCCCACCCCTGGCAACTCTCAGTCTGTTCTGTTATCTATGAGCTCAGGTTTCTTTTTTCTTTTTTCTTTTTTTTTAAGATTCCATATATAAGTGAGATCATACAGTATTCATCTTTATCATGCTAATACTTTAAAAAATATACCTATGAAAATATACCTATGAAAAGGATCCTCAAACATCTACTCCCATCCTTATTTAATTTTATATTTTTGCTTCTTTTAATACAGCAATGTTGTTCTCTACTTTTTATTTTGGCAAGGGTAAGGCTTTTCAGTCACAGAATACCTTACATAAGTGTTTGTATTACATTTAATATAATACAGAATATTGTCCCCTGAGATTGGGGAAAAACACACTTACCGACGAACACATACACTTAAAGACAAAGCCAAGAATAACAGATCTCAAGGTGGCCTCATCACTCATCTAGTCTAATCCCTTTACTTTAAAAGATACATAAGGCTCAGAGACTTACAGTAGGTTATGTAGAAAGAGAACAACCTGGTCTAGAACTCGACCCTTTGTCCAAAGAGCTCGTCACTCCCCGACACTGTCAAAATACCTATACACATTTATTCAGCCATTCATTGATTCAACAAATATTTACTTAGTGTTTATTATGTGGCAGACACTGCAAGGTGTGAGAATAAATATCAAGATTAATAAACAGACACTTGAGTTTACTGGGTAGAACAGAAATCTCAAACCCAATAGTCTTGAGGGCCAGGCAGATAAAAGTGGGTTGGGTGGACATAGTCAACAGAAAATGGAGGTGCCCATGACAAACTGGAAAGTGCAGGTCCCCACTAAAGACATTCAATGGTTTTGGTTTGGGTTTTGGTTTTTTCGTTTATACACTGCACTGGCCAAATAAAAAATAAGAAAACATGATTGGACTTAGCTTTTGGAACCAGTTTTTAACCCTTAAATAGAGGTTACAGCCTTGATTTTGTTATCCATACCTAGACACTCTAGTTCCTTAACATGAAGTATAATGTATATGTAATTTAAGGGTATTTGTGAAGAATTAAGTATAAATTCAGTTATTCATAAGCACTAATGGTTTTAATTAAAGCAGGTTAATTTTATCTAAACAAATGGCAAATGAATCCATTTTTCTACATGTCTTAATTGAGTCCAGACAGATTATAGTTTCACTTTTTCTTTTCCAGCAAGGATTTGAAAGATACCATGGAAATTCTGATAGAAGAAAAAAGACACAGGATTTCCACAGCAGACAAACTGGAAAGCTGTCTGGATTTTGCCACTGAGCTGATTTTTGCCGAGGTACTGACCTGAGCTAACCATACTTCATGCACAACAAATGTGTTTGACTGTTTGGGTATAAGTGTGTTAAGATTTCCTCTTGTGATCATGTTGTATATTTCTGCTTTTAAGTATCTGCTCCAGGTCTTCTATAATGTCCAACTCAAATGGCCCATTCATTAGACATTCTAGTTAAAACCAACCTTTATGACTGAAGCTAATCTGTGCCTGCAAAGTACCAAATATGGAAACAGGGCAGTCCAAAGACACTAACTACAAAGATAACTTGTTACTAATAGTTCCGCTTTGAGCTGAAGATTATGAAAAATGTTCACAGTCAATCACAGAAACACGTTAATTTCTATTATTTCATTTTGGTGAGGTTCTTGATCCTTGAGCATCACCTCCCCTCCTTTTGTGAAATTTTGATTCACTTTTCCAAATTTTTCCCCCCTTTCCATTACACAGAAACGTGGTGACATGACAAAAGAGAACGTGAACCAGTGCATATTGGAAATGATGATCGCAGCGCCGGACACCATGTCTGTCTCCGTGTTCTTCATGCTGTTTCTCATTGCAAAGCACCCTAACATTGAAGAGGCAATAATGAAGGAAATTCAGACTGTTATTGGTAATAATTTATCAAATAAACAATAGCGCTTAGAAAACAATACCTTCAGAATATAAGCTTCTTATGTCCTAAGAATCTGATGTCAAACAAAATCTTTTTTATAATCCATACAGAGGACAATAAAGCAAGTCCTTTTGTCACACTTTCATTATGCCAGATAGGTTAAAAAAATACAGTTTTTTCTGTGTTTTATTTGATTATAAAAATAATACATGCTCATTGATGTAGACTTTTCTCTCCTGACCTTGCACAGTCGCTATGAAACAAGTTACTTGGTTGTGGAAAGATACTATCTTTTAAACACCATTTCAGTGCTGCTTGAAATAGTTGACAGTAAGTTAAGTATGTGAGAGAAGGGGTCTACAGATGCACCCCGACATCTACAGATGTAGGTAGGAAACTGCCTGGCAAGTTAGATAGCAAGGGGTCAGAATAACACCTGGGCTCCAAATTCCACAGTGTTCCCTCAAATGTCCCTGTCAGGTTACGGGCCCTGTGACAGGTGCAGTGGCACAGCGGTGAACGAGCCAGTGTCCTCCCTGTACTCACGGGGCTCAGGGATTGGTGGGGAGGAGAACTCAACAAGCAAGCTCAGTGGAGTGAAGGGAGGGGACCATAGAATGATGGCATTCAGGGAACAAGGCGGGGGAGAATTATTCTTGAGACCATATCCTTTAATACAACTTCCTTGAGAAGCGGAAAGTGTTTGTGCCTCATTTTGTCCCCCTGACACTTCAACAGACCTCTGCAAAGATGAAAAAGCAGCAGAACCATTTGCACAAATGTCCATGCTGCCTCTCGAGACACACAATGGTAACTCCTTCCTAGGGAATGCCTTTGCTTACCCAGATAAAAACACCCCATTAGACCCTTAAGTGTACAAAGAGCAGTATGTGAGAGGCAGGGCTGTTAGAGTTCTCTGACCAAATGAGACCTTTCCTGAGTGGCACATTTGTACAGGAGACAGGGCTGCCTCAGGACCCTCATCTGCTTTTGATTCTGCAAAGGTGGTAGCCCATTTGAGGCTCTGAATGTTCTGAAGTTTTACCAATCCTGGGAGTCATCCGAGCTTCTCTGACTAGTGTCAGGCCAGTCTGAGACAGTGGGGGTACCCTTCAACCTCCAGCACACCTGGGGCTGATCCGAGGCACCCATTTTGTTGCAGTAGGAGGCAGGGACATTTCTTGCCACTCAGCCACAAAAGGTGGTGTCCTGGGCAGGTGACTGTACAAGTACCCAGAGAAGAAAATGTCATTGAAACTAAGGTCACTGTCTGACTTTGACTAGAGAAGGAGTGAATGTCTCCCATAATTTAGAGTAGGAGACAAAACTCTAAGACCTCAAAGGCCAGCCAGATAAATGTCTGAAGCAGGCTAGTAGGTCCACATGAGACTGCAGAGGGGGTGCCCCTCTACCGGGCTTACTAGCCACTCAACTTCAGCCCATTGTTGCCATGGGGTGATGTGAGTTCAATGTTACCAGGTTTTTAAATTTTTTATAAAAATCCAGGATTTTCTATGAAATTTCCCAGCTTCTAAAATACTTGGCTTCAAATCTGAATTTTTATAAAATGCTCTGTAGGCCAAATATAATATATTTTTCACAGGTTGCTGGTTTGCATTAGAGTTATAAATTTTTTTCCAACCAAGAAAAAACTGTCCTGCGGAAACTACAGGAGTTTTAATACCCACCACATGTTGAAACTAACATTACCTCTTTGTCCTTTTTAATCTATTCCCACAGGTGAAAGAGACATAAGGATTGATGATGTGCAAAAATTAAAAGTGGTGAAAAACTTTATCAATGAGAGCATGCGGTACCAGCCTGTTGTGAACTTGGTCATGCGCAAAGCCTTACAGGATGATATCATCGATGGTTACCCAGTGAAAAAGGGGACTAACATTATCCTGAATATTGGAAGAATGCATAAGCTTGAATTTTTCCCCAAGCCTAATGAATTTACTCTTGAAAACTTTGCAAAGAACGTAAGTGCTTTTCCTTAAAACCAAGTATGCCACTCTTTAAGGTGTCAGCTGTTAAATCCTCTCTAGTTCAGTGTTTGCACCATGAACATTTCATTCTATTTACTTCGTCTCCTCTGCAGCCTCACCAGAAACCCACATTTTCCCTAGTTTGGACCATGGTTACTGCATTTGTCCCTAAGTCAAGGATGCTGGGTCTCCAGCAGTAGGAAGTCTCTGCACGGTGGCCACATGATAGGTCAGAATGTTAAAAAGTCAGGACCTGAATTTGACTAAAATGAGGCAAATTTTGTTTAACCCAACCAACCCACTTTTCCATGTAAAGTTACTACTTTGTCATCATGTCAATTCACCTATAATAATAGTATCTCAGCAAAGCAAAGTCCACTTCTGCTTCAGATGGACATCAAATGAGATCAAAAGATTTGGTTTCTCCAGTCTTCCTTTGGTTCACAAAATGGCCCCACAAGCACTCATTCCCATTCTAAATAGGACTCGGTCATTAGAAGAGCTTTGGCTTTTTCTTTTTTTATCTTTGAAGTATACAGGAGACTCTGCTTCCCCTATGTCAAATTTTAGGCAATGATGTTTTTAACCTGTATTATCCAGAGAGTTCCCTCAGTGTCTTCTTTTTCCACTGGCGCATGGTATAGAAAGATGATAATTCATCTAGTTCTCCAATTCTTTCTGTTTCTGTATGAGCAACCCATGCCATGTTGACAGTTGGTCAGCAAAAACTTATTGGGAATCTAGTGTGTGACAGGCATTATGTGAGTAGAGATGTGGACAACAGATGTGGTACCCATTAATTTTTTGCATAACTAAAAACATTTAGATACTGATAGATCAGAAATCTGTATCTTTCCCTAAATTTGTCATTTGTCATTAAACTATATGACATAAACAGTCTTTGCTTTGGTGATTTGCAGAACAGTAGTAAAGCCGTGGCTATCCCAAAGAACTAGTTGAGTAACAGTGGCTGTAATAAAATGGTCTGCATTGCTTTACCCAGCACATTTACATGAAAGGCAAAACTGAGTACTGTCCAAGGTTGTGTGTGTACCATAGGGGATGAATGAAACTGGATGGAGAAAGGGGCTTACCTGAGTTACAGTCACTCTTCTCAGCAAAGGAGCAGTGTGGCTGAGACCCCAAGCCAGAGTATGCTAACTGACCGGTATGTTCAGAGTAACTCAAACAGAGACTGTATGATTCCAGCCTTTAAAATCCTAGCTAATTGTCTGATCATTTTCATAGGTTCCTTACAGGTATTTTCAGCCATTTGGTTTTGGTCCCCGTGGTTGTGCAGGAAAATACATCGCCATGGTGATGATGAAAGTCATCCTGGTGACAGTTCTGAGACGATTTCACGTGCAGACATTGCAAGGTCAAGGAGCGTGTGTGGAAAAGATGCTTATGAAAAATGATTTGTCCATACACCCAGATGAAGCATGCAACTTCCTGAATATGACTTTTATCCCAAGAAATTCAGACAAGTGCCTCGAATGCTGAAGAAGATTGGTCAGTACCTACTCCGGAGCACTTCTCATCAGTAGTTTACAAGAAAACCATTCATCTTTGCCAGTTAGTATCATCCTCATAGTGAACATTAGGTGGTGTATGGCATTTTATAGGCATACCTCTTATGGGCTGTCAGCAAACCAGGAGACATTGGTCATCTGATTTTGTCCAAACCAGAGAATCAAGAGCAAGAAAAAAAAAACACAGAAGCCAAGAGTTTGCAGGGGAAATGGTCAGCGAAAAACTGCGGCCTTAAAGGCCCAATTCCACAAAACGTGTTGGAAAACACAGGCCATCAGCAAAACTTACATCCAGCTGCCTGTGGTTTCTCCACTGCCCTGCCCCAAGAGCAGCTGAAAGTCTAGGGCAGAAGCCCTCCAGTCCATTAGAAAGAGCAGGCCAATCTCCAGGTGCCTGGAGTCAAACACACCTGCTAGTGTGAATAAAAGTGTCTGATTTGGTTTCCAGTGGGATTGGGGACTACAGTATTCATAGATTTTGGAGAAATACAAATTCAGCATTTTACTTTCCCTATTAATTATATTCAATTAACTCTTGTTTATCCACATGTGACCTGTCTGTAGCAAAAATTAAGTTGGAGACTACCCTTTCTCAGTCTCTCAATTCATGCCTCAGCCCCTTACCTCTGCTATAACAGGTATAGATTCAGGTAATACAAGGTAACTTAATAATTACTCAAATAAAATATATAGTTAGGACCATTTATCTGTTGTAGGAATAGAAAGTCACATAATGCATTTAAAATTCAAAAGGTTTTTTCATGTTTGCATTGTTGCCTAACTCTATTACTATGGGTAACCAAGAGATAGCTTTAAATAATGGCATCTAGTAACTCTTACAGGAGCTCCAGTGATTTGGGGAGGAGAAGTCCTCTGAATCTACATCTAATTCTACAGCCCAGTAGGTTCAAATATCTAAGGAGTGCTATTCCCATTGCATTGTCTTTCTCCCTTGACATTTTTCTCCGTTTTTTCTATGACCCCAAAGCCAAGGGCAACAGATTGTAGAGAACATGATTGGTGTGGAACCCCTGAATCATTATTTATCCTACCTCAGATTTAAGAGTTATTATGGAGATTTAACAATTGTGTAGTTTATTGAATCATCATACGTAGCCACGGACAAAATGTATACCTGTGAATTAGCTCAGTAGAGGGAATAAATAGATTAGTTAATTTTTTAAATACCTCTTGTGTTATGATTGTTTCAATTGAATGTCATTTAAAAGCTAAAAAATTAAACTCATTTTCAAAATGTAAATGTTTGCCACTGAGTCAACCGGCACCGCAACATTCGAATATTTTTTTCATCTTACTCTTTGGCAATAGGAAAACAGCTGAACATAAAATGAAGGTATAAGCTCCTTGAGAGAAGGAGCTCTTTTCTCTCTTTTGTAATTCATCCCATATTTACTCTCAAGATCAGTATTGAACAGACACTCTTGCTTCTAGATGCTCTCCACTGACCCTAGAAACCAAGTAAAGAAGAGGCAGGTATTCTAAGAATTCAAGGATGCACATTAGTAAAGAAGGAAATATTTGAACTTAAAATTACTTGGCTCACCTATATGGCCCAAACATACATGCAAATATGCCTGTGTGCCTGGGTATTTCTGTAGTCAGGTCTATAGACAATCATCTAAATAATTTGGACCCCTGAAACCAAGGCTAGGATTTTAGACTTAATGTATCCAAGCTATTACTAACACACTGCTTACTTCGTTCTGTCTGGAGCTGCACAGCAGAGAAAACCAGCCTGGATCAATGTACATCCCTTGGAACATCTATTGCCTTTTATAAACTTACATGTAGCCAAGGCCTATTTCTATACAGTCCAAGAAAAATGGAAGGTTGATGTAGTTGTACCTACAAAATATTGATACAAAAATAGGCTGGGTCCTCTCACCCATCTGGACCTCAGTAGACCTATCCATTAAGTATGGATTCCACCAGAGGTGCCCTACAGTCATTTCCAATGCTTTTGTTCTGTTATTATTTTGCTTCATACACATAACACCATTTTTCCCCTTTGGTATCTAAGCCCTAATAACAAATTAAGTGTATAAGACAATCTCACTTTAAGGTCAAACATGCAATTTGGTCACTGAACAGATGATCTGGGCATCCAGTGTGTGTCAACTGGCAGATTGTAAGCCTGCAAACACTATGTCTGCATATGCCCTAACTTATTAATGCAGGAGCATGAGTAAGTTTATGGAACACATTTCACTCACAGATAGTCACTTTATGCCCTATTTGAACTTGTGAACAAGCCAATGGATTTGCTGAAGCAAATAATCTTTTTTTCTGAGTGGCCTTGGTTTCATACTCAAACCAACTGGATCACTAAGAGCTCAATAGTCCCTCTATTCCCTGCTGAAATTAACCCTTTCCCTGGCCACCAACACTTCCTCTCTGGCATGCTTGTCACCTTCCCAAAATGCAGCTTGCTACTTTTACTAGCTCACATAGCTCTAGAAACAACCAAAAAAGAGAAATGAACTCTCAGCAGAAATCCCTGCCCAAGACAATGCAGAAGTGGCTGACACAACTTTGTGTGTGGTCCTTGAAGCAAGTGTGAAGAGGAAGGAATTGTTATCAATCATTAAGGTGCCACAATTGACAGCTGTTCATTCACCAAGTACTTACCATGGACCAGATTATCTCATTTAAGCCTCACAACAATCTTGCAAGGTAGAGATTATTCCCCGTCTTGCAGGTGATAAAACTGATTCTTCAAGAGTAACTTGCCCTACCCACTTAGCTAGAAATTTGAACCCCCTGTCTTATTCCAAAGTGGTGTTTCATCCTTTATGATATCAAATATAGTGTAATGATAAATGACTATATATTTTAATTGGTATAGGTATTAAAATTGGGGTGGGGTAGAAAACCAGACATTCAGAAAACCGGTGAATTTTTGTTCCTATCCTAGCCCTGACTGGCCACTCCAGCATGAAAGTAAGTTCAGAAACAAGGACTAGGGACTTTGGCCTGTCTCTTTAATCACCAGCCCAGGGTGGGCCAAACCAGTTGTTTTGATTTGACTATATTAAAGAATCAAAGTCAATTGACCAGTATGTTTTCTCTAGCCATCCATGTTTTTTATTCATCTCAGTGTCTGCCACACAACACAAACTCAATAAATTTTTGGTGGATGAATAATGAAAGAATCTTTGAGCCAGTAAGAAAAGCAGGTTCTATTAAATTCACAAGAATAGTTGGTGCCACATATATACGTTCTCAAATGTGGTCTTTGCAGTCTACTAAATACCACTCAATAAGCCTAAGACAATGAATAAACTGGCTATGCATTTAGAAGAAGAAAAACAAAGCCAGGCAGTGGGAGCTGGATAATCTTTCAGTTATTGTTACCAGAGAGGGTGTTCATACTCATCAGGAGACTGGACTAGATGTACCTTAGGACTCTGCCTACAACTTGAGACTCTACAAGTCCATGGGTTGACACTGCCTCTACAATCAAGTAGTGAGGATTAGAACATTTACTAACAGAGGCCAAAAAGTTGGTCCTATGGAACACATGTCAAAAAAGTCAACCTTCAACCTCTTGCCTTAATAATCAGTCATATCTATAGGATCACAAATACATGGTATTTTGTGCTCAATGATCTCACTTGATTACACCAGTGACCAGGAGAGGTAATACTATGCATATCTGCAAGTTGAATTAATTTCCAAAAAAAATTTTTAAAAAGCACATTTCATCCTATTTCAATGCAATTATTCTTGGTTTTCCTTCTTAGGTCTCATTCTGGTCTCGTTCAGTAGGCTATATTGCCACTAATCTTAGATCTTTTGCAGGTCCTTCCACACAAATCTTTCTGATAGCCCCTTCCTTACATAGTATCCCTCAGTTTGGCTCTGGTCCAGTGCTCAGGGAACCCCTGCCCTGTCTCCTGGCCCCAGACCTGCTGTTCTCTCCCCACAAATCTGGTGTATGTTTGCTTTTTGTCCTTCTCTTTCTTCTTCCTCTGCAGATCTACCTTCCATTTTTTTCATATTTCCCAGTCTTCCTAGACTTCTGTTATCTCCTTCCTTATTCTCTCACAATCTCTAAGCACCTTCCTGAATTGCTCTGAGCAAAGGTTACTGATTCAGTGGTTTCATTAGCCCTTTTAGTCTGAGCTGGTAAAGCTGAAGAGCCCCCCTACCACCACCACTTTACCACCACAGGCTCTTACTTAGATGAGGTGTGGCACTTCCTCCCTGAATCAGTTTCCTCGAACTTCCATAACAAACTGGGAGGCTTAAAGTGGGGGAAATGGATTCTCTGATGATTCTGAAAACCAGAGTCTGAAATCAAGGCAACAGCATGGCTGCCCTCTCTTTGAGTCTCTAGAGGAGAATCCTTCTTCTCCAGCTTCTTCTTGGTCTCTTTGGCTCATGGCCACATCACTCTAATCTTTACCTCTGTGATCATGCTGCCTCCTGCTGTCTGTCTCAAATTTGCCTCTGTCTTCCTCTCATAAGAACATGTATCATTTCATTGGAGCCCATCCAGGTAATACAGGATGATCTTGTCTCAAGATCCTTAATTTCATCTGCAAAAAAACCTTTTTCCAAATAAAGTCACATTCACAGGTTCCAGGGATTTAAGTATGGACATATCTTTTGGGGAGGCATCACTCAACACACTACACCCCTCTCACCCCAGAACATGAATGGCCGTTTTCTTCAGAGCAGTGTTTCCTAAACTTGGATGTGTATCTGAGTTGCCTGGGTGTATGTGACACTGCTAATTCTGATTCAATAGGTCTGGGTGGGGTCTGAGATTCTGCCTTTCTATCCAGCTCCCAGATCACACTGATGTTGAGGTAGGTGGCCCAAAGTGAGCAGAGTTTGCAACAGTGTGGTTCACAAAGCAGCAGCAGCACCTGGAACCTCGTTAGGATGGCGATTCTCAGGTCCCACCCACACCTGCTGAGTTTGAATCTGTGCTGCAACAGACCC